AAAAAAAAAAAAAAAAAAAAAAAAGGAGCTCCCTCAACACCCGTTTGACTCACAACTCGTGGAATTTGTACTTGCCACTGTGTCAACCGGAAAGCATTTGCCATTACTTCATCTGCGCACATTTTCTATCTGCACATTGTTTTTTTTATCTGTTGGTGAGCAAAGACGTGGATTCTCAGGTGCTAGGATGCACTCCAGGCTCCACAAATACAACAGGGAATCAAAAAAGGAAACCGACACACACAGCACGCAGCCCATGGTTCTCAGCTGTAGCGCCAGCCCTGCAGCCTCAGCAGCTGCTGGGAATCCGTTAGGGATGCCTGGCCGGCCCACGTGGGAACCTCGAAATTGAATGCTTAGCCCTGGGAGTGGGGCCAGCACCCTCCAGGTGATTCTGGGCTTCCTCAAGTTTAGCTGAGTTTAGCAGAAAGCTGGTCTCCACCTGGGTCGCTGAGTAAGGCCTTTGCTTCCTCAGTAGGGATGATGCCAGCAGAACTGTGGAATGTGTCTGTGTGCCCTTGTCTAAAACATGGACGTGACGCTTCGGAAAAGGAAAGCATAATACAAACAGTCCCACCTGTAAATTCATGTTAAAAAACCTCACCCCTTCGGCAATTACACTGGCCTTCCTCAGAAGAAAACTAAAGTTCACCCCATATGGGTCCATTTTTTAAACCTACTTTTTCCTCTTTTAAGTGGAATGTGTTGCCACATGACAACTTCACCATTATGACTCAGGGGCCTTGTTATAAACTAGCTTACAGAATTGGGCCAGCAGCAGGAGGGGAGGTGTTTACACAAAAACGGCTCCAGTCAGACGACTTGAAGTCCTTGTGCTTGTTTCCAGACTTTTCAGTCCCTACCTTCAGCAGCTGTTACACGTTGCTTCATCAAGCCTCCCTTCCCATCTGAGTCCAGGAGGCAGAGAAACTGCTGGTTAAAACGGTGTGGAGACCAAGAGTAAACAGGCAGAGGAAGCGACCCTCGGGTCACATCCTGAGCCTGGGGTTCTAGGCTCCTCTCTTTCAGCAACCAGGGCCTGCCCAGCTGGACGAGCTGGTTTCCAGGAGCCTAAAACTGGGTACTTCCAGGTTTGCAAATCAAGGTGCAGGCAGGGAATTTGGATTACCTGTTCCTGGAGTTTCTGGAACATCAGTGGGTGTGGCTCTTCCAGGATCTTCTCATTGAGAAGAGACTGCCCCTCCACATTGACTTGGGACGAGGCTTTATTGGACAGAAAGGTCATGTAGATCTCCTTGGCCTTTTCCTGCATCTGGAGGAGACAGAGGTGCCTGTCTGTTATCTGCCAGCACATCCCTTTCCGGCTGGAGCCCAGCTCTCCCTGCCAGGCCCAGAGGAGCTGCAGGCTCACGGACTCCAAACACCACTCCCCAGCCAGCCCAGCTCCCAGACACGGCTGGTGGCCCTGAGCCCCACCCTCCACCGTCCCAAGCTCCTGTAACAAGACTGCTACACCAGCCGTGCAGAGAGGAGAAAGAAGCCTGGCCCAGAGTGAGCACTCGGCACCGCGGGAGATCACACCCTGTGATTCTCCAAATTAAGGCTCACGAGGATATGATGCAGTCCTAAGAGGGAATGAAGCCCTGATAGATGCTGCTAATGGAATGAATCTCGGAAACATAATAGCAAGTGAAAGAAGCCAGACACAAGAGGACAAATAGTGTGTGACTGCACCCGTGTGAGACATCAGAATGTACAAATCCACAGAGACAGGAAGATCAGTGGTCACCAAGGGGCTGGAGGAAGAAACAAGGAGTGCCTCCTTGGGGGGAACGAGCAGGCTTCACAGGAAGTACTTTGTCTTCAAAACAGCTTACCTTGTGGCAGGAACCTGGCTCGCCAGGACTTCCCCTGACAGAGTTCTATTTTTCTTGAAGAGAAAGGAGACTTCCTGTGTGCCTGCCTCACCTGAGGCCAAGACAGGCTATTTCCCTAAATGGCAGGTCTGGGGCGCCACCTTACCCGACAGGGCAAGCTGGATGTGAAATTCTCTAAAATGCCTCCATACGGCTGTGATTCAGGGGGAAGATCAGATGACTTAGAAGTTCTGGAACACTGCCTTTCTCTCCAGAGAAATATGCCCCAAACATGCTAGGTTTAGGAAAAGCCCAAGCTCTGAAAACATTCTGGACTTTATGGAAACCACCAGAAGGCTTTGAGAGCTAGTGCTGGAAAAGAGACTTGACAAAAGCAACATGAAGCTGAGGCCTGACCATGTTCTCCTGAGGAAGGAAGCCTCGCCTGTAGGAAGCTGCCCAGGTGGGGCCCTCACCCAGAGCTTTGGTATCTGCTCTTTCTTGACTGTCAGTGTGACAGTTAACTGATATCAAACGCAGGGACACAGGAGCCTCTCAAGATAAATATGGCGGACCCTAAGACAGGTCTGGGGTCCATCAGTGAGGCCCAGCGGGAGCAGCATTGTGTAACTACAAGTCTGTCAAAGACCCAACTGTTCCACGGAGCTGTAAGCCTCCCTTCCACAACCCCATTCTGTCAGGAAAGAACATTCTGGAAAACCACTTCCTGTTTGAAAGCTGCTTCATAACAGTAGAATTTCAGCCTGTCAGATTAGCAAATGCCACGCAGAGCACTGTGGGCAGAAGTCACTTGAGGCCCCCCCTTGCCTAAAAGGTTCACATAGACACACACACACACACACACACACACACCCGCACACACACGCACACAGATGCTTGTACCCTAGGCTATCTTCATTGGTTCTGAAAAAGAAACATGTGATTAGTAGCTTGAGGTGAAGAGGAGAGGACAGGCATGCCAGGGAAGAGGGAGCAGAGCCAGGACTGCAGGTGTACAAACCCCGGGTCTCCGTCCTGCCCTCTCCCACCCACTGTCCCCCACCCCTGAGTATCTGTTGGAGAGCTGGGATCCCTGGGCTGGCTGTGTGCATGCTGCCCTGTCGCTGACTGAGCAAGCACTGAGGAACGGCTGAGCGGCAGAGCTTATCTGGGCTGGGATAGGAAGCATGACCGAAAAGGGAAACCCTGAGGCTGCCAACCGCAAGCCAGTCACGGGAAGGCCTGCTGTCCGGACCGAGAACACTGAGCTAAAAAGAAGAACTGGTCATTTGAGCTATTTTGGTAGGTTTTTCCAGAGCTTTGTTAACTGTTCTAGCAGCTATCAGGACAGGAAAAGAGCAGCCGTCTGTGGTGGGGTCTATTCTCGGTCTGACCTGGAGCACACCTGCTTCTCTTCTTGGGCCCTGACAGACCCCACCTCACCTGAAGCAGAAGACCGAGAGCTGGGATGGTCCAGCCTCCAGCTCGACCCGAAGGTGCTGGACAATCCCCACCTGGGCTCATGAGCTCAGGACGGAGCCTGGGTTTTCTCTCCAGCTGTGACAACACTCAGTGAGGAGGCAGGGCTCCTGTCCCTGCTACCAGGGTCCTCTGCACCCTCTCTCAATCCGGGGTTCCGACAGTCCTGCCCTTGGCCGATTGCCACCAAGTCTCTGCTCTGCTAAGACTTTACCCTATCACAATCCCGCACTCCTGACCTCCGTGCCAACTGATCCCCAGCGAGGTGGGCACGGAGGTCCCACAGACCCCTCTGGTTTTTCACAGAGAGAAGTTCCCTCCTGTGCTCGGGCCTGCTGCCTGCTGGGAACCACGACCCCACTGACACCTGCATAGCCACATCCTGTCTGCCACCACAGGCTCTTCTCACTTGACTCCCAAACGCATCTCCGACCAGACAGGCCAGTTTCTCTCTGCCCTGTCACCCGCCGGAGCTGGCCGGGAGAGAGTTCCCAGAGTACAAGAGGACCAAGCCACGAACTGCATACCCGTTTCAGAAAGAGCAGGAGGCAAAGGAAACAGCAAATAATGGTATAAGAAACTTTCTGAGAACTGGCTCAGGAAATGAAAGGCTGTTGGAGGAAGACGCATAAAGAGAGTGCAAGAACAAACCCAGACACCTTCAAGGCTAGAGAGGGAGCAGCCATACACATCCAAGATGGGCAGGAGCTCAGGGCACAGGGTCGCCGTGTGCCAGGCACAGAGGGGTGAGAGCAGGAAGCTGTTAGTCCTCCACCCTCACCCCTCACCCCTAGCAGCCACATTACCATCTCCTTGCTCCCTCTCCCCAGCAGACTGGAGTCTTCTTTTCTTTAATGTCTGGCCAGAGTGGTAGCACACACCTGCAACTGCAGCAGCTGGAGAAGTCGAGGCAGAAGGATTGCAAGTCTGAGGCCAGCCTGGGCAACTCAGTGAGACTCTTTCTCAAAATAAAAAAATCATAAATAGACCTGGGGACATAGATGAGTGTGAAAGTCCTAGCTTCAATCCCCAGCACCACAACAACAAAATTATAAAGAGAGAGGGACAGGAGGGAAGGAGGGAGAGAAGGAAAGAAGGAAAGGAGCAATTGACCGAGAGAGGCTCCAGAACAGAAGTAGGGAGGGCAGGGATGACCTGCTGAACTGGATCAGGCGAGGTTCCAAATTCAGACCCCAGCAAACTTCTCTGGCCCAGGTAAGAAATTTATCAACGCACTAGGCTTGCGGCCCACCCAGAAGAGACTGGAAGGCCCTATTCTGAAGAAAACAACAACAACAACAAAAAAAATTAAAGCAGAGGAAGCTCAACAGAAAGATTTAAAGATAAAGTTAAAATCTCCAAAAGAAAAGTAGGAACCAATAGCCAGAGATGAAAAGGTAGGAGAGAAAAAAACAGAATAAAATTAAGAGCTCAACAGGCCTGGGATTTAGCTCAGTGGTTTTGCCGCCTGCCTTGCAAGGGCAAGGGCCCGAGTTCAATCCCCAGTACCCCCCAAAAAAATTAAGAGCTCAATATAGGGTTATGGGGCTATCACTGGAAGACACCCGAGCCAGGCACAATGGTCTGCATCTGTAATTCCAGCTACTCAAGATGCTGAGGCAGGAGGACCACTTGTGTACAGGAGTTTGTGACCAGCATGGGCAAAGCAGTAAGACGCTCATCTCAAAATAAGGAGAAAGGAGGTAGAGGAAGAAAAGGAGGGGAGGAGATCATCCGGAATGGAAGGAAAGTCAAAAAACCAACGGAAATAATAACAATAACATAAGAATATCTCCCAGCAATGTACACTTCCAGATCACATGGTTCCAAAAAGTACTCACACAATGAATGGACCCACCCCCATCCCAAAGCCCTGCCTGTAACCCCAGCACAGCAGGAGGCTGAGGCAGGAGAATGGCAAGGTCAAGCACGTTCTAGGCAACTTAGAAACTCAGCAAGATTCAGTCTCAAAGTAAAAAAGTAAAATAAAATTAATAAAAATTTTAAAAAGGGCTGGGGATGTAGCTCAGAGCACAGGCCTAGGGTATAATTCCCAGTACTGCCCAAAAAAGGGAAAGGAAACAGGCCATTGAAGACCAGAAAGTTAAAGGGGCTGCATGTGACAGGCAAGACAGCACAGGGATCTAACGCTGCTTCTGCACATGGTTGTACTTCATGGGTTTCAAGTTTCTCACCCTTCGGGGGGCATGACAATAATATTAACATCTTTGCTCATAGATATACTGAGGATTAAATAGAATAATCCGCGTCAAAGCCCTTAGAATAATACCTGGGACAAAACAAGCATGAATGGGGATAAGCCACTCTTGTGGCTGTGGCTGCTACTAGATAGTTTCTTTAAATGTTTCTTTCCTCACTCGAGAAAGAGAATCCAAGTCACAGAAAGAGGCAAAAATTTTTACAACTGTCATATTTTAAAGCAACTTTGAGACAAAAAAGTTTTGTTCTTGTTAGGGACTGTGGCACATGCCTGTAATCCCAGAGCTGAGGGAGGCTGAAGCAGGAGGATCACAAGTTCAAGTCCCACCTTGGAAACTTAGTGAGACCCTGCTCAAAATTTAAAAAAAGAGAAAGAAAAAGAAAAGGGCGGCGAATGTAGCTCAGTGATACAGCATCCCCAAGTAGCATACCCAGTACCACAAAACAGTGCTGAGCTCCATTTCTTGACTGTAAAAAAGGGTTTTAAAAAGCAAGAAAAATATCTACTGCAAAGATGTATCAATAAAAAGTAAAAGAAAAAAAAAAGAAGAAAGAAAAATATGTGAGTACTATTTTTCCCCGGTACCAGATTGAGTCTGGGGGCTTGCACACACTGAGCAAGAAGTCTGCCTGACCCGCCCTTCCCAGTGCCCTCTTGGTTTTTGCAAACTGTACCTGCTGCCATACCCATTGCAGTCCCTGCTACATAGTAACCAAGCCCGATACACATGCGGCCACTGACGGCTGAATGCAGGGCTAGCCAAAGAATGAATACCTACTTGAAGCGTTTTCTGCAGTCTTCTAATGCAACAAAAATGCTGGTTTGGTTTAAAAGCTACAGATACCTCAGATAAATTTATGGAGCAGAGGCACTTAAAAATTTTTTTAAACCATAAAGAAACTGCAAAAGAAAAAATCTGCTTTGGAATTGGTTTGCTAAGTATAAACATCTAGAAGGTACAATAAGCCCAGGCACTCTAAGGAAGGAGGGACAGGAGGTCACCGGCCCAGGCTCCCAAGTCCCCAGCAACCCCACAAGACACACTGAGAGTCAGGACCGTCCTGGTCTACACGAATGGTTTTCCAGCCTGTCGGGAGGCAAAGCACAGACCTGGGCCATCAGCAAGGACCCACTGGTATAGGGGTGTTCTATTGTTGGGTGCTTCTAAGAACCAAAGCCACAGCAGGATAGGATGTGCATACAGCTCTCACGTCCAGGGCTGCTGCAGAGACTGCGGGCTGAGGCGAGAGGCAGAAAGGAAAGACCCAGTTCTAGGCACTCAGATGCCATGGTGAAGAAAGCAGATAGAGATGCAGCCCATGACAGAGAGAAAGACAAAGAATGCAGGATAGGAAGGCACAGGAGTACAGCCACTATAGGAATCAGTGTAGAAGTTTCTCAAAAAACTGAAGCTCTGAATGCTATGGGGACACCTATATACCCATGTTTATTGTGGCATGATTTAGAATAGCCAAGATATGGAACTAGCCGAGGTGCCCGGCAACAAATGAACGCATAAAGAAAATTTGATATATATACACAACAGAATGTTATTCAGTCATATAATCTAAAAGAACAAAGTTTTGGCCAGGCATGGTAGCACACGCCTGAAATCACAGCCCTTCGCAGGCTGGGGGAGGAGGATGACCATGAGTTTGAGGCTGCCCGGGCTACCTAGCAAGACCTTGTCTAAAAAAACGAAAGAAAAGAAAAAGAAGAAAATTTTGTCATTTGGAGAAAAAAATGGGGGGATCTGGATATCATCGTGTTGAGAGAAATAAGCCAGATTCACGAAGACAAATATTGCACATTCTTCTGAATATGTGGAACCTTAATAAGGTGGTGAGAAAGGAGAAGAAGACTATTAGTTAGACGAGAAAGGAGAAAAGGAACAGGGTATAGGGGTGGGTAACAGGGAAGATGAAAATGATTAAAATGTTATACACTATGAACCCCCCCCAAATCATGTGAAATTGGGGAAGGGGTGGGAGGAGAAGGTGGAATAATTAAAGTAAATTACATACACATAAATCTGCCAAAATGAAATCCGTTCATCTGTATAACCAATGTGCACTAATAAGGAAAAAAGACGAGTAAGTAAATTGTACAAGACACGAGAAGTTGATGAGTGCTGGAAAATTCCAGCAAAGAACGAAAAACAAACTGACAAGTTCTCTTTAACGAATGGCCAAAGAGAGATCTGCATCGCCCTGCACAGCCTCGTTGGACTGCAGAGAAGATAAAGCCCTGGCCAGATGTGGTGAGTTTGATTGTGAGGTTCAGTTAGGGGCCGTCTCCCCTTCTGAAAATCAGTACCGCAGAGCTGATGACCAGGCTTTGCTTCCCACCCTGCAGGAGCCACAGGAGACTGCCAGAGTGGGCCTAGGGTCAGAGACCCGGGTCTGCATCCAGGTGCAACCCTGGGCTGGCCTTGGCTGAGCCGCTGCTTGACCTCTCAGGCCACACCCGAGTCCTGCAAACAGGAACAGTCAGGAGGCTCAACATGATGACCCAGACTGAACCCAGACACCCAGTGTCTCTGCCTTCCCTGGGACCGGCTGCACTCTCAGGCAGCTGAAGGGTGAAGGCGGCATTCTCCGTATTGCAGCAGTCACCTTCATGTTCCGGGCTTTTGCTCACAAACCTCCCAGAGGTCGTCCTACAGTGGGTGACGGGGATGGGCGTGTGGAGAAGGGCTGTCCGACTCCAGAAACTCTCTGAAGGATACGGGTGGGCGGTGCCACCAACACCACACTGCACTTGCCTCGCACATGATCAAGCCCTACAGGGGCTTTCCAAGGCCTCAGCAGAAGGTTCCCTCCTTGCCGTGGCACTCAGGTTCCCAATGTCGTCACATCTGCTCCCAGCCTCAAGCGTATCACAGTGTCCTCCCCCGCAAACAGAACCCCCTCTACCACTCTTCTCCCAGGCTAGTCTTCCCACACTCCCGGAACACTTCCGGTCTCGGTCTCTAAGTGACTTCCCCCAGGGCCCCCGTTCTGATCACCCCCTCCCTACCTGAGCTCCCACGGCCCTGCGCTTCCCATTTCTACACTCAAAACGCTCACAGAAGCTTGTTCCCCAATGAAGCTCCTCTGGCTCGTTCCTGTGGTGTCTCCAGGGCTTTCACGAGACTTGGTGACTTCGACTGAACTGCCACACACAGCAGGGGCGCAGGCGGATACCAGGGTGACCTCAGAGTGCTGGTTCAAGTCCAGCTGCGCTGTGGTGCAGGGAACCCGAGCAGCCCTGTCTGCGCTGCCAGGCTGGGCTGGCCACCTGTGGGCCCTCCCTGCTCCTAACACTCAAAGAGCAAGGCAGTTGAATAGAAGGACATCTGCTTGCTCGGCCTCCTGAATCTAAACTAGGCTGTTCAGTGAGGCTGCTCATATCAGTCACAGTCTAGCATGTACCCATGGGGGTCTCGGCTCTGTCCTGGGTGCTGGGGACAAAGGAAAACCTTAACATTCCTGTCCTAAAGGACCTTAGCCCCAAATCCGACCTTTCCCAACCAGGCCCTCCCTACCCTATTTCTCACTACCCATGATGCTCTGGCCAAAATCACCTAGCAGGAAGAATGTGCCAGCAGGAAGCAAAAGCACAGTCAGGGTTTCCAAGGCCAGTCTGGGAAACGCAAGCCAAAGGCAGTCCATCTTACAATTCGCCCTTGCCACCTCCAGAGAGGAAGGCCACACTGCTGCCACTTGGGAAAAGTATCTGAGCCTGGGAGCGCCCTCGAATAAACTCCTGAGGTGCATTTGCCAAGCTGCGGTCTGTGAGAATGGATGCTGGCCCCATGGATTCCAGCTTTCAGAGACAAACACTCAAACCCTGGCATCCCAGAAGGCACATCTGCCAGTGGAGATGTAGTTTGGCAGGCAAGCCTTTCGACTTTTGAAAAATGAGTTCCAATATTTAAAACTTGGATAGTTCCACATTAGAACCCACATGTCCAGTTAAAAAAAAAAAAAAAAAAAAAAAA